CAACGTTTATTTATTTTTGGGACAGAGAGAGACAGAGCATGAATGGGGGAGGGGCAGAGAGAGAGGGAGACACAGAATCGGAAACAGGCTCCAGGCTCTGAGCCATCAGCCCAGAGCCCGACGCGGGGCTCGAACCCACGGACCGCGAGATCGTGACCTGGCTGAAGTCGGACGCTTAACCGACTGCGCCACCCAGGCGCCCCGCTACGTATCTGTTTCTTAAAATCCATTATCTTTTCCTGCTCTATCCTATTACGTGTCTCAGAGAAATTAATGTGTACTTCTTAGTGGCATTTTCTTTTTTTTTTTTAATATGTTTTAACATACAGTGTTATATTAGTTTCAGGTGTACAATATAGTGATTAAACAATTCTATACGTTACTCAGTGCTCATCACAAGTGCACTTTTTAATCCCTATCACCTATTTCACCCACCCCCCACTGGCAACCATCAGTTTGTTCTCTATCGTTGAGTCTATTTCTTGGTTGTGTTTCTCTTTTTCCTTTGTTTTGCTTTTTAAATTCCACATGTGAGTGAAGTCATGTGGTATTTGTCTTTCTCTGACTTTTTTCACTTAGCGTTGTACTCTCTATATCCATTTTTGTTGTTGCATGTGGCAAAATTTCATTCTTTTTTATGGCTGAATAATAATCCATTGTGTGTATATATATTGTGTATATATTATCCACTCATCTATCGATGGACCTTTGGACAGCTTCCATAATTTGCCTATTGTAAATAATGGTGCAATAAACATAGGGTTGTATATATTCTTTTGAATTAGGTTTTGTATTCTTTGGCTAAATACCCAGTAGTGTGATTACTAGATCACAGGGTAGATCAACTTCTAATTTTTTTGAGGCATCTCCATATTGCTTTTCAAAGTGACTGTACCAGTTTGCATTCCCCCCAGCAGTGCATGAAGGTTCCTTTTTCTTCACATCCTCATCAACACTTATTTCTTGTATTTTTGATTTTAGCCATTCTGACAGGAATGAGACGGTATCTCATAGTAGTTTTGATTTGCATTTTGCTATGATGAGTGATGTTGAGCATCTGTTCATGTCTGTTGGCTCTTTCTTCCCTTTAAAAAAAAAAACAACACAATATTTAAATGTCTAATAAAGGGAAAAATTGAACCATCAATTTATAAATCTCTTGAACTAAAACAATGCTAGGAGTGTTTTCCATTATCTCAGGTTTCATGTGTTTTCCTTATTTTTAAACTATCTATTGTAACAAGTAAAGAAATTGACTTGACCCATCCTCCAGTCCCCTGCCCACTTCATCACCAAAGAAATATTAGTTTCTAGGGGCGCCTGGGTAGCTCAGTCAGTTAAGCAGCTAACTCTTGGTTTTGGCTTAGGTCATGGTCTCATGGTTTAGGAGATCAAGCTCCACATTGGGCTCTGTGCTGACAGCGTGGAGTCTGCTTGGGATTCTCTTCCTCTCCCTTTTACCCTCCCCTTTCCCCACGTGTGCTCTCTCTCTGAAAATAAATAAATAAACATTAAAAAAATTAAAAATAAATAAGAAATATTAGTTTCTATAACTGCATTTAGGTATGTTGTTTTTTAAAAAACTTAAACATTAACAAGTTTCTACCTCCTTTGTTGAGAACTTCACATGCTAAGAAAATATAAGTACTTCAGTGTGTAATAGTAAATAATAAAATCTTGAGCACATTTCATATTTAATATAATCTTATTAGTTCTTAAATATAATAACCAGGAAGAATTTCAGTGATAAGCTACTTAATATGTCTTTGACTTTTTAGACTATTTATGGTTTTTTTTTGTAATTATTGCCAGATAGTTTAGGTAAATTTTACATGTTTTAAGAGGTTTGGTAGAAAAGATTAATGTTTAAAAACTTTATTAATCAAAAACCTTTTATTTATTTTATTTTTATTTTTATTTCTAATGTTTATTTTTTGAGAGAGAGAGAGAGAGAGACAGAGCATGAGCATGGGAGGGGCAGAGAGAGAGGGAGACACAAAATGCAGGCCTAGGCCCCCAGCTGTCAGCACAGGTCCCAATGAGGAGCTCGAACCCACGAACTGCGAGATTGTGACCTGAGCCGGATGCCTAACCGACTGAGCCACCCAGCCGTTCCTAATCAAAAACCTTTTAAATTAAAATGAGGAAAATAGTGAATCTATTACTTGGACTCTTCCTGAGTTTGCTATATATGTCTTTTTAAAAAAAACTTCTCATTGTGAAATACAAAACACATACAAGGTCTAGAAATAGAACTTGCCAGCGCCTTAAAAGCCCCCTCATATTCCCTCATGTCCCCTCCTAAACACTGTTTCCTTCCTCCCTCCAAATACAACCACAATTCTGATTCTTACAGTGATAAGTGTCTTGCTTTTTTTTATACTTTTATCACCTAATTATGCATCCCTACACACTATAGTTTAGTTTTGTCTGCTTTAAAAAAAATAACAAAAACTATATAAATGGATTTGAACTGTATACGTCCTTTTGCATTTGGCTTCCTTTTCTCATTATTATGTCTGTGAGTCAACATTACATGCAAACAGTTAAAAATTTTTTTTAATTACTTGGGGAAAATGGAATAGGAAAATAGTAAGGAGACATAGGAGTTAAGATGCATGTTTTGCTAATGGCTTTGCCTCTAACCAGCAAAGGTGGCTTTGGACAAGTCACTTGAATTCTCAGGATCTCCTTGTTCTCTTCTAAAACGTGATAGAATGGGTTTAAACGGTTGATAGGACCTTATTAGCTCTAACGTTTGATGAATCTGGGTAAATAAATGTTACGCTATGCTATTCTTAATTACTTTCATTTTTGTTTTCATTAGGTTGTCTTGGAGATACCCAGTTTTGTTTTAGATTTCGACAATCTTCTGGGAGGAGGGTGTCACTGCATTGTCTCCTGGATCATTATGACAAAGATTTACCAGTTTACTTAAAGGTTGGAAAAGTAGCAATAGAAAAATGTCCATGTGAGAGGAAACTTTAGAACTCAGTTACCTCTAAAGCATTCAGAAATATTTTACTTTTGTGTTATTACTATATTATACTGTTAGATTTCCTAAGTGAGTCTAATTCATAAGGATTCAGCATGTGAAAGAAAGAAACTTTATGAAGTTACTGTTCTTGAAACATATAATGCCACTGTGAATTTTAGAAATCAATTAGAATGTTGAGGTGGTTTTCTTTCATTTGTTAATACCTCTTTGTTTAGATGTGGAATTGGGGTGGTACCATACCAGTAAATATCACTTAGAGTTGAAGATTCCCTACTTTATGGTAGAATTGTAGTTGTCTCTTTTTGAGCTTTGTTTTCCAGTTATTTATTAAAAACAATTTTAATAATTTAGATGATTTCAAAGTATAGGCTTCTGTTTGGTATTCCATATTTACATCTCTTGACTGTGTGAGGAACATTTCCGTCTGGATGTCCTATCAGCACATCCAGTATGACCTCATTTGCCTAAAATCAGCATTTACAGTTAACCTCCCTGGTTCCAGTAATGACAGGAACCCTTTCCCAGTTAGCAAAGCTATTACCTTTGAAATGTCTTCTAGCCATCTACTCCTTTCCATGACCTTTTGCTTTCGCTATCAACATATTCTTTCAACTGATAATAATAGTTACTATTGACTGGTGCTTATATTCTAGGCACTGTATTAATAAGCTTGTGTTATCTCATCCGTCCTCATAGTGTTCTGAGAGTTTCTTTTGTAAATGAGGGAATTGAGGGCTGATGAGGATAATAATTTTGCCTAGACATCCCATCTTTTGGGTTTTTTTCAATGTAATATATTGTATACAGAGTTGTCAGCTAAAGTACATGTATATATTATATAAAAATAAATACAAAATGGCTATCTGTTGCTTAATGAATAAAGAGGCAATGATAGTGCTATTTCCTTGTCCTCACTTTTTGGGCCTTCCAAGATAAGACCTTTACGTTTCCAGTTTCCAACTTTATCTCCTTTCTGTACATGTGCCACATTTTAACCAAACTGAACTATGTGCTTTTTCCTGAGGTAGCTTGTATTTTTCAGTCTCTGTGTGTTTGTTTTTGCTCAAACTCCTGGCTCTCTAAACCTGGGATGTTTTTGTCTTTGTTTAACTCCTATGCATCCTTCAATGCCCCATTCGAAAACAGCTACCTCTATGAAATCTTTACTGATCCCCATAGACAGAAGTAATCTCTTCCCTCTTGGCCTCCCTGTAACACCTTGTGGTTTCTTCATAGTACCTACCTTGAGGTTTGTTTTTGTCCCTCATAGATTGTGGTCTTAAGGAACTGTATCTGATGCATCTTTTAACTTCTGTAACACAATGCCTTGTTCAAAGTAGATGGTCAATAAATATTTGTGCAAATAATAATCAGTTAGGAACTGGGTTAAAGTATATTTCATTAGGATGTAAAAACTTCTTATGTTTTTTGGAATGTATTTACTTTCAAATTATATTTTGATAAATATTTCGGTGTTTCATTTTTATTAGGTAAAAATAGAACTGATTATGTAACATTCAGATTGGCATTTAACTCCTTTTTTTCTCTCTCAAAATTTTACATTAGGATACTTCATTTTATTAAGACTGACCCCTGACTCATACTTGTAGGCACAATTTAAAAATATACATGTAGCATTGGAGAAAACGTAGAATTTGATTGTTTCCTGATGTCCATTAACTGGTACAGACATGAATAAACAACATAAGCTGAGGAGGTTTTAATGGGAAAAGTCTGATTTTAGTACTCTAGTTGAAATGATTTCACCTTTGGGCAAGCTCCAAGTTTACATCTGCCAGTTACTATCATGATTGTGTTGGTGGAAAAGCATAACTAGATCTTTGTGTATATTTCATATCTCAGTTCAGGTTTGTAAAGGAATGTGATGTTAATAATAACAAAAGGAATGCGATATGTATTTTTTTATTTGTCACTTCTTTCATAGAAGGATCCTGCTTATTTTTACGGATATGTGTATTTCCGACAAGTTCGAGATAAAAGTCTAAAAAGAGGCTACTTCCAGAAGGTAAATTTCATATGCACTAATAGGGAAATTGTTTTTATATTGTGGCTAGAAAAATAGAAACTGTAAGGATGAATAGTCTTTAAAGTCTTTGATATTTTATCTTTAAACATACTAGAACTTACATTTTTTGTTGTTGTTGTTTTTTTAGATTATAGATACCTGTCCCTAGATTTTTTTTTTTTTTTTAAAGTGGGTCTCATGCCCAGGACCCTGAGATTAAGATGTGAGCTGAGAATCAAGAGTTGGATGCTTAACCGACTGAGCTACCCAGATGCCCCTGTCCCTAGATTTTTAACTGGGATTGAATTTTGCCTTTCTGCTATCTCTGTGCTAGATTCCTGACAGTTATACATATTGTATGAAATTGTTAAAAGCCAAATGAATCTGCTTAATTTCCACATTTTGGGATGAGGAAAAGAATGAACAGATGATTTTTAATATCGTTACAACTAATAAAAGTCTGCAGTATCTTTTTTTGAACAGCTAAGAGTCACTAAATACATCTTAGCAACATCTTAATCATTAGTATTTCCATTCTAAATGTACAGTCATTTTATTTTCTTTAAAAAAAAATTAGGGGGGCGCCTGGGTGGCGCAGTCGGTTAAGCGTCCGACTTCAGCCAGGTCACGATCTCGCGGTCC